TTTCCAAACTTCTAATTTTATTTTTATTTATCTTATTCTATTTTTATTGCATTGTGAGAAAATAGTTGTGAGTGTACTTCAAATTGTAAATCTACTATTCAAGAGAGTTGATGTGTTACTACCCAATTCAAATACTTGTATCAGTTTGATCCTGCGTCGTGAAAAGGATTGAGTTTACTCTTGAACTTGTAAAAAGAGCGGTGTAGCGGTTTGACTCTGATCCGTAGAAAGAGTCGAGAAAGTTCTTTATTCAAATTTTCAAGAGGCGCTTGGGGAGTGGAGTAGGTCAAGTTTGACCGAAACACTGTAAAACTAAGGTGTCATATTTTCTAACTTTTCCTATTTAATTTTAAAATCATTATGGTGATTTATTGGATGCTGATTATTGTTTTGACTTGAATTATTTTTTTCTAGTAATTATCATATTCTACATATTTGTAAAAAGTTTCGTAATTAGAAAAATTAATCACGTCTAAATACTTTTATCGTTAAAACCCTATTCACCCCTATAGGGTTGCCATATCGATCCAACACCAACAGCTACCTACCTCTTCTCAAAAGATTGGAGTCCAATATCTTTGCCCATAAAGTGCTTCAAAAGGGGTCATCTGAATGGTTGCCTCGTACTTATTGTTATATGGAAACTCTATCAAATATAGATAAGTATCTCAACTCCTCATAAAGTCTAATATGTAAACACGCAACATATCTTCAATAATCTGTTTAGTCTTTTAGTTTGCCCATTTGTTTAAGGGTGGAATTCTGTAAAAACATTTGTTGTGTACTAAGTACCTTCGAAAGAATCTTCAAAAATCGAGAAGTAAACCACGTGTCTTTATCTGACCCATTAAAACGGGTATACCATGCAAGGCATATAATTTCTTTTAAATACAACTTTGCACACTTGTCAATTGAATATGTTAACTTCCCGGGTATAAAATAAGTTGTCTTAGTTAGTGATAAGATAAGGAAATCAATACAAGGGGAATAAGATTCGGATTACCTTGTTGATTGAATATCTCAAGACAAGAACATTATTTGAGATTCGAATCACTCCACAAGCAAGATCGATCATGTCTAGCTTGAATGATTCTTGTTGATCAAATATCTCAAGGCAAGAACGCTTGCTTGAGATTCGAATCACTCCACAAGCAAGATTGATCATGTCGAGCTTGAATGATTCTACATGCAATCTAAACTACATAGAATTGCAAAGATACTTAGCCATTGGCTAAAGAAAAGCACAAATGCTTCTTTTAATATATTTTCCAAGTCTACCTTACAAATACAACATACATGGATTTATATAGCCTCAAAATGAAACTATTAAAGGCATTCCAAAAGTTGTAACATTCATACTTAATGATCATAATTAGCCATTATGTAGATGTAACCTAAACTAAATAAAATGTCTTCAAATACAATAACTCTAAATTACTCTAAATTGTAACCCACCCAAAATTTATAACCATCAAACTTCATTCCTCTTGGATGTGACATGAATTGCAACCTCTTTTGATAATTTTGACAACATTTTCTTCACATCTTCATTGAAGTATATTGTATGAATGATGTCTCTTGGTTCATATCAGTTAGTTTGTCAACCACATCTCATATTGTTGTCGATGTCAATCGAGTTTTAGGCAATCTTTAATGAAATCCATGGTCACTTCCTCCCATTTTCATTCGTTTAATAATGGTTGCAGTAATCCAGCGAGCTTCTGTCTAGGTGCCTTAATTTATTGACAAGTTAAACACTTGCTCACATATTCAACATATTTCTTCATCCCACGCCACTAAAAACATGTTTTTCAAGTTTTCATACATTTTTTGTGGCATCTGGATGCACAGTATATGGTGACTCATAGTTTCATATTAAATCTATCGTTTAATTTCTCCATTGTTCAGAACACATGTTCGACTCTACCACTTTAAACTACCTTCAACTACTACTAATAAGTCTTTGGCTCGCTTAGCTTCCGGTTGGTTAATTTTCATAAGCTAAGGATCTTCCTGCTGACCCTAAATGATTTTTTGCTGTAAAGCCAGGCAGATAGTGATAAGAGCTAACCAAGTCATTACTTATCTTACTAGAAACGCTATTTGAGCTTGTTCAAATTTAGTCCAAACTTTTGTTTACCTAGTGAGCAGTGCAGATGAATGAGTTGTTTTAAAACTCAAAGTGTTAGCTACTACATTTGCCTTGCCATGATGGTAAAAAATTCCATATCATAATCTTTCACCAATTCCAACCATTCCACAATCACTTATATTTAACTCCTTTGGTATGAATACATATTTTAGGCTTTTATGATCTATAAAGACTTGAATCTTTTCACCATCAGACAATACTTCCAAATTTTCAAAGCAAACACCATAACAGCTAGCTCTCGATCGTGGGTTGGATAATTGCATTCATAATCTTTAAATTGTGGGGATGCATAAACAATGACTCTTCGTTGTGCATAAGTATGCAATCTAATCCATTTTTAGAAGCATCACTATAAATTACTAGATTGACAATCCTATTAGGTACAATAAGTACTCCTTGTGTTCCTGGAAACTTCCTTTACAAGCGTGGCTCCACTCAAATATTTTTTCTATTCTAATTAACTGAGTTAGTGGCGCCACAATTTTCGCAAAATCTTTAATAAATTGTCTGTAATATCCTAACCCAAGAAACTTCTCACCTTTGAAATTGTAGTTGGTCAAGCACATCTTATCACTGTCTAAACCTTTGTTGGGAATTCTACAATACCGTCCAGAATACCACATGACCGAGGAATACCACCTTTTAAAACCAAAATTCACGTTTAGAGAACTTAGCAAATAATTTATTCTCTCTCAAATTTCTAACCTTTAGAGTAGTTATTGTCTTAGGAACACGGCTTGATTTCACACCAAAAAACCAAAAGCTCTTTTCCATTAGGGGTCGAAATGTTATCTCTTTCTTATAGTAACCAATATTGGTATGATAAGCAGATAGTCAATCCATGCCCAAGATAATATAATAATCATACATATCCAATATCATCAATAAAACATCTAAGGGTTATCTAGACACTGTTACTCTATCACCTTTCACTTTATCACAAGTCATCAATACTACTTGTGAGGGTGTAGACATCCATAACTCATAGCCTAAATGCACTATTTTAAGTTGGGTTTGACAAACAAACATAAGCGAAATAAAATTATAAAAAATAAAAAATAAAAAGTGTAGAGCCCCAATCAAATACAATATCGGCATAATAACCACATATAGGTTAGGTACCCATCACAATGGTACTTTACTAGTTGTGGCATAATAAGTTTTGCCTCGGGCCTGGGTCTGACCACCGACACTTGTTTGAAGACCTCCACCTCTAGGGGTAGGTCTCTCGGTACGAACTACATTCAAATTCCTTGCATTTCAACACATTTTTGTCAGATGACCACTCTTACCACAATTAAAAAAAGTTTTATTTGTTGAAGCACGAGGTCCTTCATGGGTCAATCTACATCTTCCAGAAACTACCTTCCAATCACCAACGGGAGGTCAATAGTCAACATGTTAATGTATTGCTTGCTACTAGGGTTCAAAAGAGATCTAAGCATACCTCCGTTTACTTTCCACACGTACCTAACTACTGACACTATAGTCACCCCTCGGAGTACTCGTTCCAATCTAATAAAAGTTTTCAAAGTTGTGATAAAGTCCTAAGATGCATGTGTCGACACTAAGTCCTGTATTTTCGGTCTCAGACTTTTGATAAAGAGATTTATCTTCTCTTCTTTAATAGCAATCAAACGAGAAGCAAATCTAGATAATCGTGTAACCCTTAAGTTAGATCACGACGTTTTCGTTCCTTTGAACTTTCTATCATTTTGATTCTAGTTATTATTGCTAACATCAACGTTACCTTTGACTTTAAATGAATTTTACAAATGTTCAAGTCACGGCAATGTTTAGATGTGATTGTTCTAAATGAATTTTGTACATACTAGCTATATTATGCATATAATGACGTCTATATTTTGTTAAGAAAAACCTTGTGAGCTTGCCTTTGAGACGAATTGTGAAGCATTGTGAAGTTTGTGCTTGGTGCAATGCAATCGAGAACATAATGGACTTAACTTCGGCTTTGTGAGCTAGAATGACATCTTTTTGGCTTTGTTCATAATTCGTATCCCTTTGCCACTGCCGGTCACTCTAATGTTCTAGTTTTATCCAGGTTAGTTGGTTCGAATTTTTTAATAATTTTTAATATATATCATGTATAAAAGAATCAAATCATATATATAATTTATTTAATTTCTTCAAAATACTTAAAAAAAAACGAAACTTGAAATATAATAATATATTGAGAGAAAAATAATAAACGTAAGTTAAATAGTGATAATATTTTAACGATATAGATTATAATTTACTAAACGCTTTTTTATATTTAAATCTAATAAAATCTTGAGTCCAATAAAGTGTTGATAAGGACGGTATGAATATACTATACAAACCACAAAAAGGCTCAGTGTCTTATGACTATAGCAGCTTAGGCTTGTCCGAATTAAACTCCAAACCCATCCAATAACTTTTGTCCAAGAAGGTTGAACTGAAATCCATTTAGCGGATAATGGATCTACGTGATCGAATTAGGTCGAGTGACTTTCAGTCTCGTTTGGTTAGACACCGACCCATTCAATATAAACAACAATGGGTCAAGTAACATTTAGTCTCATCTACTTGAACTAAAATTTGGTACGACATTCTTTTGAGCTGCTCGTTGAGCAGCTTCATTATCTCGAGTATCTAGATTAATCGGGATTTTTCAAAAATATTTAAGAGCAATAATTAGTGTGTTTAGAGCCAAATACTGAAAATAAAAATAATAAAGTAGAAAATAAAAATAATAAAGTAGAAAATAAAAAGTTGGGAGACAAAATTGTATTATTGGTATTATTATAATTCTGAAAAGGAAAGCTACCGGTAGAAAACGGACATTGGCGTAGCAAACAGAAGATCACAGCCGACCATCACAACGCCATCCGACTCGTGGAGAAGCTGATCGCCCCCTCTCTCTCTAAATTTCACATTTCCCTATTTCCTTCTCTCTCTCTCTCTCTCTCTCTCTCTCTCTCTCTCTCGTTTCTCACTGCATTCCGATCCCCAAGATGAGCAAGGGACCTGGACTTTTCTTCGACATCGGCAAGAAAGCTAAAGGTATTCTTCTTCATATCTTCTTTTCCCCTCCAAATCTTCTCCTCCATTTCCAATCTCCGCCGCCGGAACGAATATTCATCGCTTTGTCTTTTCTTTTTTCAGATCTTCTGACCAGGGACTACATCTCGGATCAGAAATTCTCTGTCTCAACGTATAGCGATGCTGGAGTGGTAATAATGCCACTCTTTGTTTCTTCATTTGTTCTTCTTTTTTCGCTTCTTCGTCGCATGATTCCATAGGTCTAAGTCAGCGGTAATTAGTGTACCGCATGTTGTATTATTGATTGTTCTTTCCCCCCCTGGATCTTCAAGGTCGGTCAATGGAAAGTATTGGTTTCACTTTTTATGCATTCGTATTCTGTTTTGTAATGATGTAGTAGTTTTAATTGTCTTTTGAAGTGATTCTGCACCGACTGTTTGGGTTAATTATGTACTTTCACTGTTTGACTTGTTTTCGTTTCGAATCGGATATGTATTTCGGCCTTTGTTTCTTAAATTTTAGGGCAGAGATGTCTGTTTGGATCTATTAGCAAATGATCGTTTGAGATGATGCTGGATTTCTTTTTTAGTTCTAGGAATTTGAACAAGACATTGTATGGCCTATTTTTCCATTTTTTGTTCTCTTGGTGCTCTATTTCAGCTGTTAAATGCCGTCATTGCCATTGGATTTAGTCTCTTTTTCCTTATCTAAATTCGTCTCTTACTGTCCTATTTTCTTCCTCCGAACTTTAAAGTGTTCCATGAATTCTCACTATCGTGAATTGTATGTTAATGTCTTCTAAGCTGAAATCATAGTCTTTGAGTTTTTGGACGAATATCATGAGTTCATTTCAGCCATGTCTCTACTAGATTCCTTCTCCAATTGCTAGTTCATGTTAGTTAAATCAAATTATGGAGTGACTTCATGTCAAATTGTATTCATATATTGTTGTCCTTACTCTTGTAGGTCCTTACCTCCACTGCAGTGAAGAAAGGGGGACTTTCAACTGGGGATATTGCAGCATTGTACAAGTACAGGAATGTTACATTTGATGTTAAAGTTGATACGGAATCAAATGTGAGTTCTTTTGCTTATAAATCTATTAATTATGAAGATAATAAAGATTCATCTATTTATGAATTAACAATACGAGTAAAAAATAATCAAGAAAGTTCGTACAAGTACAACACAGATAAATGGAAATTTTTGATATATCGATGGGTATCCCTATCAATAATTATCTAATAGATAATGATATTATAGATCAGGAAAAAAAATCTGGATAGAAAATATTTTGATTGGAGAATGCTGCATTTTTGTCTCGAAAATAAGGCCGATATTAGAGCTTGGATCAATATTGAGCCTAACACGAACCGTAATCAAAATTGATAAGAAGGATTTTTTTGTGAATCGCGTTTCTTTTTTCTGGATTAGGGTCATGCTACACATCCATGTCTTTCATCTTACCCATTATTTTATTTTTCTCAGATTTCTACAATCGTTACATTAAATGGAATAGTGCCATCCACAAAGACTATTGCTTCAGTCAAGATCCCAGATCATAACTCTGGCAAGGTAAACTGCAGAGCATTCTTTCCATTAGTGTTGGAGATCTCTTTTGTACTTCAAATTGCTTGTTTCTGATTATTCTTTCTTCTTGCGGCAGTTGGAGATTCAATATTTCCACGATCATGCAACCTTCACCAGTGCAGTTGCCTTGAATCAAAACCCCATAGTCGATGTTTCAGCCACCCTTGGTACTCCAAGCTTTGCCTTTGGTGCAGAAGCAGGATATGACACCACTTCTGGTAACTTTACAAAGTATTCTGCTGGCATTAGCGTGACAAAACCCGACTCATCTGCTTCGATAATCTTGTAAGATATCATTCCCAATCTACAAGTTCTTTTGTTATGTTGGGTCTGTTGCTCATTCTAATCCATAGTTCCTCCTCTCCTTTAATAGAGGTGACAAGGGAGACTCAATAAGAGCTTCCTATGTGCACCATTTGGATCAACTCAAGAAGAGTGCTGCAGTGGGAGAGATTACTCGAAGATTCTCCACGAACGATAACACTTTCACGGTAGGCGGGGCGTTTGCTGTCGATCATTTGACAGTGGTGAAGGCGAAGCTGAACAATAATGGGAAACTTGGGGCACTCCTCCAGCATGAAATTGTTCCAAAATCTTTGTTGACCATCGCCGGTGAGATTGACACAAAGGCATTGGACAGAATCCCCAAGTTTGGTTTGTCTCTTGCTCTCAAGCCATAATTGTTCTAAAAATTTCTTGTGAAGGGGACTCAAATTCTTGCGCTGCTCGTGAAAAGAGAGCACTCAATAAGTAGTTCCACAGATTCATATTTCTTTAGGTCTTCTGATACTGTGGATTGTTTGTTACTCCCCCTCCCCTCTATTTTTGTTGGTTTTTCCTTTTTAGGCTTTGGAGGCATTTTGTCATTTTGACAATCCGTAACTTCTTAAATCGGAGAGAGTTAATGATTTCGATTTCAAACGTTTCAATTTGATCGTGTCACCACATTATTATTATCGAGTCTTTTCAATCTCGTGTCTATATGTGATGAATGATATGTGATTCAAGGTCTCAAACAGTGGTCGCTACAATAAATGTTTGTGGCAATAATGTTAGAAGAATTGAGAGGATATCTACTCAAATTGGGCGTGGGAACATTTTCTTTGCACGGCCACTGAGATTTTTTGTGTTTCAATTGATAAGAGTCTAAGAATGAGTCAAAATTCAACCAGGGAATCAATCAAATCTTCATTATTTCCTCATCAATACGATAAGAGTCTAAGGATTTTTAGTTTCTTATAGAGAAAAGAATCACAAAAAGTCTAAGAAGGGGAAAATGACTTAAGAAATTTTTTAGATTATTTTTAAATAAAATTTAAAAAATATACGACTAAATCACTAAAATACCCATGAAGTTTGAGTTAATTACGAGAATGCCATTGCCTAAATCTAGAATTTTCGACCATCCTGAGAAGTTGCTGGATCATCACCAAATTTGGATATGTCCCAGAAGACCCAACTCATCGGATCCAATTAGTGCAATTCAAAATGGAAGTTGGCAAGCACTTAATTGGAGAATACATTTCTCTTAAAATATTATAGTCGTTTATATTTTGGGTCTCTCCCTCTCGAATTTCTTCTAAATTTGGGACATGTAGTCCATAATTTTCGTCCAAACGTATTCCTACACCTTCTAAAAGTGATTGCCCACAAGTTCCATGAACAAAACAAGAGCAAAGAGTGTTCCTAACCTATTTGCCCAATCAAAACCGCCATTAAAGGAGTAGGAAAGAAGCTAAAAAATTATATTTATATCTACATGCAAAATTTTCCATTTGAACCAACCCAATCACTTCCGGGGAGTTCAAGAAGTATTTCTAGTGAAGAACACGAAGGCCCATAAGCTCAGGAGAGGAAAGAATTCAAAATTTTTATTTTCGAGTCAATTTGAGTGTAAGTTTCAATTTCCTCTCTACATGTTATAGGAAGTCAGGATGAGTTACCCAAGAGAGGTCAATTTTGTGTTTTGGTTGACTTTCATATCGAAGTATTAACTCCAAAATTAGCCACGATCACACAAAGTGATCATAGCTTGGAAGTTGCCATAGATCTGCACTCGTGTAGAAAATGATTTTGGACGAACTTTAAAAGATTATAACTTGAGTTATGACTCATCAAAAGGTATGGAATCGATTCTAATCCCTTCTTTGCAATCTCATCTTTAAGTTTCATGAAGAAATCGAGGAAAGGAACACTCTATAATAGATTGAAGAGCTGAGTTTCAAAGAGCGGTGATAAAGAGTGTGCGTCTTCTTCATTTCTAAGGAAGAAGAAGATGATGTGGCCTGAACTACATCAGCCAAAATTCTGACCTCCTCTCGGTTTTTCTCAAATTAACCCCCTTTCAAATTGGTTCTCATAAAATTCTTGATGGTTCTAGAGACTAGTCTCTCCGAGGAAGCTACCAAAGAACAATTGAAGTAATTCAGGTACCAAAAGCTCGTTAACAAAGGTCTTGAACAACGACTAAGAGGTAAGTAGCAAGTCTAAACTTCTCTTAAGACATACTTTAGAAATCGCTAGAATTTTGATATGAACCTTAAGTTAAGATTAAAAGGATTAACGAGGAATTAAGTAATCAAGAACTATGAGTGAAGGACCTAAACCAAGCATTTTGTTTGGAAATCAAGTAATGGTAAAATAACCCACTAAATGAATTCCACTATCTATGAAATGTTAGTGCTAGATATGTGACATAATAAGGATATGTGAAATTTTGTGATCATGGGATAAGGTTAAATAGCTAAACCAAGTAAGGATATAAAATGACCGTAATGCTCCTGAAGAAATTTACCAACGGTACCAAATAACCTCCAATTGACATGAAACTTTATATATAATCTAAAACTATGTCTTTTAAGGGTCGGGTACAATATCATAGCTATTGGACTATGTTTGGGCTCAAACCTTAATTTAGGTGTTAAATGACCATATTACCCTTATTGACGAAGACCTTGGATTACAAGGACTTGAGTAATTCTATTGGTCATGCAACTTTTAGGTCTCATTAACATGACATTATGGGTATTTATGACTTGAATATAACCATGTTCATACTTACTTTAGGGTTAATACATATTATGAATAAGGGTGTGATATACGTTTTCCTGCAAACCTTGGGTTATACAAGTTACCATGCATGAAGACATACCCTAGGACTATGTACCAAGCCTTGCACACCCCATGAAGTCATGACCCTTCAAGTTGCTAGGTACCACTCTACTATTCCGTAAGTAACTTATGACCTCCTACTACATGATGCACTAAGAGGCCCATGATTCATTTTCTAGGTGGGATGCCCTACACCATATTTTTTTTAGGAGGATATCATGCTCAGGCCTCATGTATTCCCTCACTTAGATGAGATGTCATGTGTCATGGTTATGCTCGTCCAAGACATGTTGTCCATGGTCGCCTGCCCGTTGCATGTCAAAACCCATGTGTTGTATCCCTTTATTGTTTTCCTCTACTGCTTTCATGATGTATAGTTTATTTATTGTATGGCGTTTCGACAGAATCATGCCTATGCTTAGTAGACCTGAAATGCCTCATAATGTACGGTAGAAAGATGCGACTAGTAGCAATTCTTTCTATCCAAAGTTATATGCTATTTAAGTCGTTGAGTTGTCTTTTTCACTTATAGCTTATAACATTACTTTCTTCATTTCTCTTCATCTTGCTTTCGAACTCTCTTTTTAAAATGTCTCTCTACCTCCTTTTTTCTAAAACCTTCTTCTTAAAGCGAGGTTAGAGACTTGGGTATACGTCGTCCGACTGAAGGTGACACCATTTCAAGTTGGCCGACTCGCTTATGAACGTCCCCTAAGAGAATGATTGTGACAATTGATATGAGATCTTATTGAATAGCTTATTGAATTACCTCAGTAAGGCCTACTCTCTTGAGTCTAAAGGTCTAAAGGAGTGAAGTTGGGAAGATCAGGGTAGATATGCTCTAGATTGACAATCAACTATGGATGCCATTTTCTATTTTCTGTTCATTTTCATTTACGGATCTCATCCTTCCTTTCTATAATTCCTTTCCTTTATAGAATCGATCACATTCCCTTTTGAATTTTGTAGTGAGATGCAAGGATGCGCATCAAGGAAAGAGAAACTAGCTCAGTACAATGAAGCTCAACACCTCGACAACCCATCCTTAAATACGCATGGTCCTTGCTGAAAGTCACATACCATATGTAATTAATGTTGGGCAACATCGTATCAAAGAGAATTTGGATGTATCACGAAAGGTACGCAAGAATTATCTTATTAATCAAGCGGAGACTCGGCTTGGCAAAATTCTCATACACAAATTGATAAGATTCATGTTTCTATAATCAATGAGTGTACATTCTCAATACGAGACTTCGTAATTTGGTTAAGATGTTCAGTTCGAATACACAAATTCATACCAATTTTGTCTCGATCACGGTTAACTAGATGTAGCTTCCAAAAAATTCATTTTTTTTATAATGAATGATGATGTTCACGTACCTGTTCATTCAAGCCCTCATTCCTTCCATAATTTGAATATCATTTGGATAGCTGATCGTGGAGCTAAAACTATGGTTAGGGTGACCATCAAAGCAATAGATTCATGAGACTGACTTGCTTACCAGCCCAAGGGGTTTGTTTTAATATCATAATGAGATTTGGGGCAAATTTGTCTACCTTTTAAACCCAGAATCCAACCCCGCTTACTGTTGGTCTACGTTTGCTACTCAACCCGTTCGACACCGACGCAACCAACTGCAACCCCTAACCACGAACTCCCCGCCGCACAAGCCTAAGTTCCGAGTTTCTGAGGGTAATTTGGTTCTGCAAATGCAGATTTAAGAACACAACAAAACAGAAGTTTGATCTGAGGCTGGTAATGACAGGAATGTAAGAGAGAACTTTAAAAATACCTGTTCTAAGGAAGCTTGAGAATGGATACTTGGCTTGGGAGCCAATTCAAGCATATGGAAACCAAATTCAACCAAAATCCATTCTAAATAATAGATTTTTTCAGAAAAATTCATGATGTTAACACACAATTTACTACAAACTCATTCCAACCAAAATTCATTCTGATTCTGTAATAAACAAAGCTGCCAAAACCAAACATTTCAAATTACATATAACCATACCCTGTGGAACAACTCTCCAAAAACTTTTTAAAGAGAGAAAAAACTCACTTGGGCATTCTTCTAAGATCTCACAAACTTCAACGTTTTGAAAACAAAGAATCGAACTTCAGTTCAGAATTCATTCACAAGAACAAGACAACAAAAAATAACCTTCATACAATATAGACAAACCGTAACAATTAATTTGAGTCTTTCTGAGCTTACAGAGAGAGTGATTCTTATCATTTAGTTTCATTTAAGTCAATTTTTTTTTATGAGAAACATCACTCCAGCCAGAAACACTAAAGAATTCAGAAGGGTATTAAAAAAAATCCCAAGGAAAGGAGCCACAACGACTAACTATTGTTAATACATGAAAGGCTCAAACCAAAAGAATAATGCTTCACGGATAATTACAAAACTTGAAGTAATCAAAGTCCATGGATAACTTTGATTAATGGTACTTCAGTTAAGGGCAGACAATTAAGAGTTCATCTAATTTCCAAGGAAAATTATCAATCTGAGTTCAAAAATGCATGCTAGTTCACCTCCTAAAGGAATGAGATAATAAAGTAAACTCCTAATAAGCATAGCACAATTTCCTATTGATACGAGTCCACATTGCAGTAGGTATGGAGTGAAATCACTTCAAAGTAGTAAGGGCAAAATTATGGTAAAAGCAACAAACTAAATTCTTCAATTAGAAACCGAAAAGGTTAAGGTTCAAGTTAAATTCACAATCGCCTTATGTTCTTCAACAATAATCATTGTCACCCAGAAATTAAATCAGTCTCAATAGCAAATACAAATTCTCCATTCAA